TTATGAAAACTTACCAGTTCAAGAGGAAAAAATTGGTGTTTGATTGAGAAAAGAAAGGAAGAAAGTTTGTAGTTGTGAGAGCAAAAGTCACGCAAAGACCGAGAGAGGCGATGCAATATTATTTTATAACTTATTAAATAAGTCTGAATGGTGTTAAGACTCTCCTGCAGATCTGATCCGTTCAGACCTTTTCAGGTCCATTAAGAGGCTTTCTGAAGAAAAAAAAAACAAATGTACTTAATAGGCTGAATCTGAATCATTTAGATTCAGACCTAACAACAAAACACACTTAATGGACTGAATCTGAATGATTAAAATTAGACCTCCATTAAGCGCAAACGAATGAGGCCTTACTAACATTGTTGACGTGTCACGTTCTAAAGGGTCGTTATTTATGTGACAGCTTTAACGATTTGGTTCATCATTATTATTTATTTATTTATATTCTTGTTTTGCCATTAAACTCCGACGATGAGGTAGTTGGCAATAGATCAATAATGCTCAACCTAACTATATATATATATATGCTAAGAAACGTGATTGACAGTGACCATAAAAGTGTGGATCATGAGAAACGAAATAGTAATTATTTTTAGTATATTATAAAAGGACATTTAATCAGTGGTTACTAATTGGTGGTATAATGGCTATTTCTTTTTTAATAATTACGTAGTTTTATTTAAAATAAAAGTCAAACTATGTAAAATAAAAGAAGACACAAAATTGTGTTCTTGCTAAAAGTTATGGAATATCGATGCGCAAAAATAAATGTGAGACAAATTCAAATTTCCTGTAAAAAAATCAAAATTGAATTTGATTATTTCCTTTTCAACTTAATAAATTTAAAAGTTGTAATGTTTTGCTAAAAGTTCTTTCATTTTTTGTTGAAGGAAACTTGAAGACTGATGGAACATGTCGAAGGAACAGGACCATCGAAGCAGGTAGATGAGTTAGAGTTTAGAGTCATACAAGGACTAGATTACTAAATCCTAAGTTATGTACGACTAAGCTACTGAATATTGTAGGAGTCGACTAGGATAAGGTATTTGACTTGTAATACAATACTACTCATGTAAATAATTGTGTTGTAGTAGGATTCCTAGCATAACTAGAATATGACTCTTCTCCTTTATAAGGAGCTTGTAACTCAACATTATAATCATCAATACAATTCTTGATTTCTCCATACTTAAGTGAGAATTCTACATGGTATCAGAGCAATAAAGTTTTTTCCGCTCTTTAACGTATTAGATCAAAACCAAAACAACCAAAATATTGAACCGCAATGGCCCCTTCTACCAACACTCTTTCGACCTCTTCATTTCATCATCTTACTTCGTCCTGCTCCATTAAACTTAAGCCAACGAACTATCTTATATAGAGGACACAAATGTCTTAGTTGATTCAAGTGATGGAATTAACCTACCTCATCATAGAACCACCTAAAGATACATGTTTCACTGGACAAATTACTGAGAAAGCTGTAGCAGGCGAGAAAGGTGCAGAAGACAGCAACATTGTTGATGACTGGGAGGAGAAAGATGTGTTGCTAAGGAGTTGGATCTCAGACACTTTGACAGAAGAAAGCATGTACTTGATTGTAGGCTGCTCAACTGCCAAGGAGATGTGGGAATGCTTGGAAGAAGCTTATCTTCAAGCAACAAAAGATAAGGAGTTCCAACTCAAACAACAACTGCAAAGTGTGAAGCTAGGAACCAAAACAATTGACGAATATATTAAGGAATTCAAAGGCATATGTGATGGCCTTGCAGCCATTCACAATCCTGTAGATGAATATAGCAAAGTGAATAATTTTGCTAGAGATCTAGGTCTTACGTACAAGACCTTCAGGACTGTCATGCTAGGTAAGGCACCATATTTTACTCTTAATCAATTTGTTAATGCTCTCAGGGGTTTTAATATGAGGGAGGATGAAGAAGAAGTGCCTTAACAAAATCATAACATGGCATTCTCTGCCCAAAGAGGTAGGGGAAGAGGAAACTGCTCTCAAAGAAGAGGAAACAATAATTTCAATTCCAGAGGAAGAGGCTTTAAGCCTGCTGGACAAGGAACGGGTTCTTATAACAGCAGAAACGGACCAGGTCCTCAGAATAGTCCTTCAAGTAGAAGTCATGAGAGGAACAATAATGATGCGTGTCAAATTTGTGGTAGGGATAACCATACTGCTCTAAGTGTTTTTATAGGTGGGATTACTCTTACCAAGTCGCGGATGAGCTACCACAAGCATTGGCTGCTACTAATCTACAAAACACTACTGATGACACCTTGTATGTCGACTCAGGAGCAAGTAGCCATATGACACATA